CAGCTGGTATAAAACTCCTGTTTTCTCAGGTTTCCAGTGGGACAATTTGAGAAGTCCTGAGGTCATGCTTGAGAAAAAAAAACAAGGATTTTTTTTATGTGTCAGTTTGTGCTTGCTGTTAAAGTGTTGGTGCTGACCCTACAGAGGTGATTTGGAATGACTGCAGTTATTGTTGCAAACTGTAACCAAAGTTATCAGAAGATACAAGGTTGTTTTTCCCTCTGTTAGCAGAATTAATTTTCACTGTCGATAATCAGAATACAGCGTTTTAGCAAAGCATGAAGAATGGCTATGGATTTTATTTTGCCTTGCTCTGAGAAAGTGCAATCTCCCAACAGCTGCATGTTTTTCCTTTTCCTTCAGCAAAAAATGGCCCCATTTACGATGTTGCCTGGAGCCCCAATTCTGTCGAGTTCTGTGCTGTGTATGGTTTCATGCCTGCCAAAGCCACAGTTTTTAACCTGAAATGTGACCCTGTGTTTGATTTTGGCACCGGGCCCCGCAATGCTGCCTACTATAGCCCCCACGGACACATCCTGGTGCTGGCAGGGTTTGGGAACCTCAGGGGACAGATGGAAGTGTGGGACGTTAAAAACTACAAACTGATTTCCAAGCCGGTGGCGTCGGATTCCACGTTCTTCGCTTGGTGTCCCGACGGGGAGCACATCGTGACCGCCACCTGCGCTCCCCGGCTGCGCGTCAGCAACGGCTACAAGGTCTGGCACTACACGGGCTCGGTGCTGCACTCCCACGAGGTGCCCTCTGACGAGGAGATGTGGCAGGTGTCCTGGCAGCCCTTCCTGGACGGGGTGTTCCCGGAGAGAGCGGTGAAACACCGGGCGGTTCCCAGCGAGCTGCCCGGCGCTGAGCCGAGGCCCGCGCAGGCATACAGACCTCCTGCCCTGAGGAACAAACCTGTCACCAGCTCCAAGCTGGTGAGTACCAGTGTCCTGTGGGAACTGACCTCTTGTCTGGGGCTTGGCCTCACCTAGGTGTGTGCTTTTCAGGAGGAACATGAGTCGTTGGCTTGACGGCACTGTGGGGGTTTGGAGGGGTTTTGGTAACCTTCTTTGGCACTTTGCTGGGCACACTTTGTAAGAGTGTATGCTAGAAAGCTCTCATCTGTTTGGCCAAGTACTGTCCTTTCACAAAGCATTTGCAAACTTTTGTAATATTCTTTGCAATATGTACTGAAACACTAAACCCCAAGTGGGGCTTCTGGTGAAATTGAGTGCTCTGGTTAGGACAGAAGCCTCTGATCTGGGTGACTTGACTTGCCAGTTATGAATCCAGCCAGCCTTGTTGGTTTTTTTTTTGTTTGTTTTGTTTTTGTTTTTTTGTTTTGTTTTTGTTTTTTCTTTTTTTTATAAGATAAATGTACTTATTAGAAAGAGATTGGATCATTAGCAAGTCAGCTGCAGCTTAAACACATTTCAGTACAGTGACCTGCTTGTATAATTGGTTGCCTTCTGCAGGTTTTCAAAGTAGGCTGAATAGCAACATATAACAGCTGCACCCTTCACCTTTGAGTCCTGGAGAGCTTTGGTTTTGAGCCTGGTGCTTTGCAGGAGACTCAGCCTGAGAACAGTCATGTTGAGGGCTGAGGGCTGCTCTCACAAACCATCCCTGAGCAGAGGGAGTAGGAAAAAGATACAGTCAATAAAATAATTTTGCTTACTTATATGGGAAAAAAATCTTGTCACATGCATTAAAACAATACAGTGCCACAGTTGAGAGTTGTCATAAAAGCACCAAACAGCCCCCCTTCTCAGCCCCCACTGTCCCTCAAGAACGCCCCACTCCCCTCCCAGCACTCAGCCTTCCTCTCTGGTCGTCAGGAGTTTGAGTTACAAAGCTGTCAACAGCAGCAAAATGCCAGGCTTCAGTCATTTTGTGCTAGATTATTCCTCTTGGATTTTATTTCCTTCCTGAGATAGAAAACATAATGATTTTGTTGTTTTATCAGAAATCTGTGATATTATTAGGGCACACAGAGTAGGTCCATGCAAACTCAAATGGATGAGTTTGAAACCCTTTCACCCTTCTTTGGCTGTTCCAAGGGGTGCATACTTTTCCCCCCCACTTCCTTTTTTTCTTTTTTCTTTCTGTTTCATCTTTGCACATGATGTTCTCTTTGGTAGATTTTGGGGTTTCTGTGCCAACATGGAATATGGAGTTTTAACCATTTTGCATATCCTGCAGCATGAGGATGAGCCACCCCAGAACATGAAACCCCAGCAGGGAGGTGGTGATAAGCCACTATCTAAAACAGCTCTCAAAAATCAGAGGAAACATGAAGCAAAGAAGGCTGCTAAACAGGTACTGCTAAAGTCTTCTTAGGAGGATAACTTTAATTAGT